GACAAACCAACTAACAAACCACAAACTAAGAAAATAAAAATCCAAACGAAACCACATGAAAAAAACTATAAAAAGAGAACAACAACAACAGTCCATATATACACAAACAAAACCCATAAAACAAACAACAAGAAAACAAAAAAACAAGGAATCTAAACAACAAAAACATAGAACTATAAAAAAACTAAACAAAACCATCCAAAAACTAAAAAAAAAACTCTATATCCAAAAAAAGGGGGAAAAAAAAAGAAAGAAAAAAAAGAAAAAGAAAATACACAAGGGGCACTACCCAATCTACCTACATCACCCTTCCTTCCTTACCCCCCCATGGTGTGTCGGGTGGGGGTTCTGGTCGTTGTACTCACTGTCTGCTTCGGGGGATGTTCAGTGTGGTCCTGCGACGTGTGTGAGTGATCGTGGGCAGCGGTTTTGCGTTGCTCTGCCAGCTTTTGGATGGCTAGGATTCGGTTTTTGCGCATCTGAATCCTCTTCCCCATGTAGCGACTGCGGCATACTCTGCGGGAGGCGGAGGGGGTTTTAGTTTTTGGGGTTGGGGGAGAGGGTGGGGTTGAGGTGGAGGGGGGGGTGGAGTGTTGATGGGGGTGGAGGGTTGGGTGTGCGGTGGAGTGGAAGGTTGAGGGGTGGAAGGTTGGAGGATTGGGGGAGGAAGGTTGGGTGTGGGAGGGTTGAGGTGGGTGGATGTGTTGGATGGGGGTGGGTTGGTTTGGGGAGTTGGGGTGTAAGTGGGGGAAGGGTGGCGTGGTGGGGTGAGGGGTTGGATGGGGAGGTTGTGTGTGTTGGAGGTTGGGGGTTGGGTGAGGTGAGGGGTTGGAGTGAGGGTTGGAGGTTGGAGAGCTGGTGGTGCAGGGTGTGGAGGGAGGAAGGGATGGGACCAGGTTTTAGCTTTGGTTGGGGTTCGGGTGTGGGTGGGCGAGGCTGGGTGGAAGGGGGTGTGAAGGTGGAGGAGTTGAGTGGAGAGCAGATTGGAAAGGGTCTGGAATGAGGTGGAGGGGTGATGGGAGCGGAGGAGTGGAAGAGGAGGAGGAGGAGGAGGAGGAGGAGAAGAGGAGGGAGGAGGAGGAGAGAAAAGGAGGAGAAGAAAGAGAGGAGGAGGAGGAAGGGAGGAGGAAAGGAGGAGGAAAGGAGGAAGGAGGAGAGGAAGGAGGAGGAGAAGGGGAGGGAGAAAGAGAAGGAGAGAGGGAGGAGGAGGGGAGGAGGAGGAGGAGGAGGAGGAGCGAGGAGAAGGAGGATGAATAGGAGAGAGGAGAGAATGGGGAGGAGAAAGGAGAGAGAGAGAAGGTTGAGGAGGAAGAGGAGAGAGGAGGAAGAAGAGGAGGAGAGAGGAGAAGGAGGAGAGGATGAAGGAGGAGAAGTAAGAAGAAGAAACAAATAAAGAAGAAGAAAGAGAAAAGGGGGAAAAATAATAATAAGAATACGAAGAAATAGAAGATGGTGAGACGGCGGAGGAAAGAAGTGACGGAAGAAAATGGAAGAAAAAGAACAAGAAGAGAGAAGAAAGCAGAAAGAAGAAGAAGAAAAAGGAAGGAAGAAACAGAAGGAGAGAAGAAGGAGAAAGAAAGAAATGGAAGAGAAGTGAAGAAAAAGAAGAGGACTGGGCTTTGGAGTAACGTGGATTGCAATAAAGGAAGGAAGGAAGAGGCTGAAAAGGACTTAATAGAGCAGGAGAGCGTAAAGGTGAGAGAGAGAGAGGAGAGGCGGATCAACAAATAGATAGACAGAGATAGAGACAGAGATAAAAAGACTGACTGTTAGATTGATAGACGCAGAGATAGACAAATATAAGTAAATAGATAGATAGAAAAAAATATTGATAAATGAAATAAGGCACAGATGAAAGATTGAATATATATATATATATATATATATATATATATATATATATATATATATATATATATATATATATATATATATATCAGAAGAAGAGAACGACAGAGGGAGAGAGAGAGATAATGGAGATCTAGCGCTTTACAAGGAAATATGAATGACGAAAAAATCAGAAAGTCCAGAATCCCACAAAGGGAAACAGCGTGTGTAGTGAAATATCAAAAGAACCGGTGAAGAGTAGAGAACAAAAACACTAAATAAAAAATAAGACAACAGCAAAAAAAGAGAGAAAGAAGAAAGAAAGAAAGAAAGAAGGGAGACGGCGTTCCGAGGAAGTGGCGAAGGAAATTGAACTTTGGGCGATCGCTGCAGGGAGGAACATAACATGAACAAACGCTCTTACTTCTAAACTTTCAGACACAGGATGAACACACGATAAAAGGAAGCTAACTGCTGTTCGCTTGGAGAATCGGGGAAAACATTTGTAGCGTCTGCTGTCGGGGGGGGGGGGGGGGGCAGAGGAATAGGTACCTCGCAGGAGCTGGAATAAAGAAGGTGAGCGCCGCGCCTTCATTGTAGTCTTGGGGACGAACTGTATAATTATAGGCTGGAGGGAAAATACAGTTGAATACATTTTACATTTGGAAACACAGACGCATGTGTGTAGGCCACGCACCCCCACATGTACGTTTACATATACGCATAGTACATTCATATATTTACACACACACACACACACACACATATATATGCATGTCTATATTATATATATATGCATATATGCTTATTATTATATATAATATATAAGAGATCCGACAAAAAGTATGGTCCTCCTATAGTTACGTTTCATAAAAAGAATGACTACACAGAGAATTCAAATTACGTTAAGAAAGTTTACTTAAAGAAACTGTAAAAGTCAAGGACGAGAAGCTGCTACAATTGTTGGATATATTTGTGGCTGTCGAGCTGTAACATAGTTAGGAAACATTTCCCCTATGATAACAAAAATGAGAGAGAGAGAGAGAGAGACAGACCGAGAGAAAGAGAGAAAGAGAGAAAGAGAGAGAGGGAGAGAGAGAGAGAGGTGGGGGAGAAAGAAAGAAAGAAAGAAAGAAAGAAAGAGAAGGAGGGAGATAAATATAGATAGACAAAGATAGAAAAGAGCGAAGGCAAGGAGGGTGAAATAGATGCAGCCCGTCTTCCCATCATGAGGAGCAACACTTCGGAGACGCGTTAAGCCCTCCCCCTGAGGCGGCGCCGCGCGAGGGCGATCTGTAAGAGGGAAAACTCCCGAGCAGATCGCCGCAGGAGGCGGATCGCCAGCCGGAGAGCAGGGGGGGGGGGCGTCCGCGGCGCATGTCGGGGGCGGCCGCCTTCGATGGAGGGTCAGCAGTTTCCGAACATAAAACCGACTTCTCAATAACCTGACGACAATAAAGCCATTTACACCATCTACTAGACGTCGGAATTCGTCGGTGAAATGGCTGTAAAAATAAAGCGACGGAGGTCAGTCGTTAAGGCTGATTATCTGCGCGAACAGGTATGTAAGTCGCCCACAACGACCGGGGCGTTTAGGGCCGCCAGCCTCCTCAATTGAGGCGGCGTCTGATGGCCTGCATTACTCGGATGTAACTTTCACGACCCGCCGTGATGGCCGGGGCGGGGAGCCGAACCTCGGGTTTTATATTTCCGACTTTTCTCGACTTGGACCGCCTTGAATTACTGTTCGGCGACGAGCGCAACATCCTCGCCGGGAAAGAGTTTATTCTCGCGCCGCGCTCTCTGCTCGACCGGTTCTCTGAGGCGCCCTTTTTCCGAGGCCGTAACTCGGGAGTATTGACCCGGCCATTACGACGTGTGCAATACGTAAAGATGACACAAAAGGTAAGAGGGACTTAATCATTGTGGATCTTTGGCGAAAGACGCGAGTGGGTGGCGAGACTTTCCTCTTTTTGTCTTCTTGGAGATAAAGGAGATTTTACGAGCGGCTTGAGGGCTTTTGGCGGTTCGTCCACTTCCTCCGTTTTTCCGTAACTTTAAAACTCGTCTCCATCATGGCTGTTACCTTTAGCTGATAATGTAATCACCGCGCGCTTGGATAAGCTGGAATAATATTTTCCCATGAACAAGCTGAACGATGGCAAAAGCGCCCTTTTTTAAAACTCCCGCCCAAATTCAAGCACGAAGCGCTCGCCTCTCAGACCGGCGGCGGCGGTTGTGCCTCCTGAATGCAGTCGAAGGAATGGCTGAAGGAAATTGGGGCGGAATTAGTTATGACGTAAAGCGAAGGAGATATACGTCATCGCATGTGATACTTTGTCATATCATCCTCATATAAGTATGCATATACATACATACATGCATGCATTCATACATACATACACACATACATACATATATGTATACATAAAAACTCGTACGATATTTGCATGTAATGAAAGTAATAATCAATAATAATAATGTTAATGGTAATAACAACAATAATAATAATGATAATATTGATAGTAATAATAACAAGTATAATAGTGATGATAATAATAATGATAACAATAAACAGATTTATGTATACACGCAGAATGTCCGAAGACTCTTACACTGTGGAAATTAGCGGTGCGATCTAAATATAGCAGCGAAACATTTAACTCAAACACTTAGCACACGTAGAAAGGTCACATTCAAACTAAAGTTAGTTAACTGGTCCTTGCAATTAGAAATACATGAGGAAGATAAGGGTAATTCGCCAACACACTGGTATCTGAAAAAGAAACAATTATTTATATAAAATATTATGCACACACACACACAAACACACACACACACACACACACACACACACACACACACACACACACACAGAAACACACACACACACAGACACACGCACACACACACACACAAACGAACACCCCCGTATACCCGCCTTAAACTTATCACTTACATGACGTAATCCCAGACGTCTCAGAGACCATAGAAACCACAGAAGCCCGAGGACCTACCAAGGAGCGAGGCGAACACCATCACGAAGCAGGTGCCGAGGTAAACGTCGATGGACTTGACGTAGGAAATCTTGGGCAAAGCGGCGTTGGTCGAAGACATAAGCGTGGTCATAGTCAGCACAGTGGTCACACCCAGGGAAACGCGGGCGGGGGTAGCTATGGGCGGTACGAAGAGAGGCGTTAGTGTGGGCGGGTTGGAGGGGTCTGGGGGCGCTGGGAGGGGGAGGGAAGGGTTGTACTCAAGAGGAAGGGGGAGTGAGGTTGGTAGGTTGGTAGTAGGAGGTAGGTTAGGTAGGTAGGTAGGTGGGGAGGGAGGAGGGGATAGGTAGGTAGGTGGGGAGGTAAGGGGTAGGGTGGCAGCTGGGAGGAAGGGAGGGGTAGGTAGGTAGGTGGGTAGGTAATTCGGGCAGATGGGTTGAGGTGGTTGGTTATTTTTGGGTAAATGTTTTTATTTATGTATTTTATTATTTTATTATATTTCTATCTGCCTTCCTCTTTTTTCTTAAAAGAAGGAACAGGAAAACAGGAATGGAGAGAGCAAATTGACTCAGGATTGAAGGTGGATATCATGTGGATGGAGAGAGTCTGGATGTGGGCAGGGAATAAAAAAAAAAAAAAAAAAAAAAAATCAACGAAAAGAGTATTTGTAAAAAATAAAAAGGGGTAACAATCACAATCCCAAATGTGGTTACGAGCGGCACTAAAAAGCAAATATATATATTTTTTTGAATAGGCAGCAATGGCCTTTGGAGCTGCTTGGCAAAGAAGCGATCGTGATTAGTAAAAATATGATAAAAATGAAAATGAATTGCATTTTGGTTTGAATATTGCATTCATTGCAAAAGAATGTTCATCCCAATCTGAAAAACACAAATCGATGGTTGCAAAATAACTGGACACTCCTTGCAGTGAAAACTTTATATAAATACACTACATATACATATACATATGCTAATACAAATACATACATACATGGGCATATATATATATATATATATATATATATATATATATATATATATATATATATATATATATATACATATATATATATATATTCATACACACACACGCACACATATATACATACATACATACATGCATATATATATATATATATATATATATATATATATATATATATATATATATATATATATATAAGGATGTATATATATATTATATATATATATAATATATATAATATATATATATATATATATACACATGTATATATACACACATATATGTGTATGTGTATGTATGTATGTATGTATGCATGTATATATATGTATGTATGTATGTATATACAGTATTTATATTGTGTGCATATACAGACACATATGTAAATGAATATGTGCATAATATATATATATATATATATATATATATATATATATACTATATAATATACGTATGCCTCATGTGTGCCTGTAAATACTTAAGAGAGAGCACCATAACACACGTAGCGTTCGATTCTAGAAAAAGTCATAAAAAGGAAAAAAGAAAGAAAGAAAAACAACAACAACAACAACAACAAACTATAGAACATACAAGAAATTAAACGGAAAAAAGGACGAAACAGTAAAGAGAAAAAAAAAACGAAACGAAACAACGAACTCTCAAAAATCTTACGAACAAGAAAAAAAAAAAAAAAAAAAACCCAAAACCATATACAGAGAAAGGAAGAGGGAAGGTCGTCATGGAGGGGTCGTTGGGCGGGGGTGGGGTGGGGGAGGGGTGAGGGTCGTACATGTGGTTCTGAGGTCGTGGCGGGGGCGTGGCCTGGCTGGAGGGTCGTCGGGTGCAAAGGGTCGTTGATTAAGTAATGTTGTGGAAGGGGGGGTGAGGAGACAGAGGCTAGGATGAGAGAGGAAAAGGGGGAAAAGAGAGAGAAGAAGAAGAAGAAGGAGAAGAATAAAGGGAAAATACAACGAAGAGGAAGAAGAGTAAAAGACGATGAAAAGGACGAAGGAGGAGGAAGAAGATAAATACGAGCTAAGTAGGAAGAAAACGTATCTATACATACATACATATATACTTGTAAATATGTATATGTATATATATATATATTATATATATATATATATATATATATATATATATATATATATATATATATATATATATATATATATATATATATATATATGTATATATATATATATATATATATATATATACATACATATATATATATATATATATATATATATATTATATATATATATATATATATATATATATATATATATATATTAGAGAGAGAAGAGAGAGAGAGAGAGAGAGAGAGAGAGAGAGAGAGAGAGAGAGAGAGAGAGAGAACAAAAGAAAGACGAAGAGAAGACGAAGAAGAAAAAGAAGATAGGATAAAAAGGCCAACAAAGGGGCTTTGGGAGGTTTTATGCCTTAAGAAAAGTGAGATGAAAAGAGTAGAATTTCCGTTAAAAGCATTTCACTGCTGCATTGTGCATTGAGGAAGCAGTGAAAGACGCTATGCTGTAGCAGCTGCGATAAAGATAAAAGATGGTGATAATTATAATAACAATTAGGGGTATGATAATAATAGCAATGGTATTGATCATAATTTTGGTAATTATGGTATTGTAAAAATAACGAAATAATAACTTATGGCATCATTGACAATGATAGTAATAATGAAAATAATAAATGTAAAAATAATGATGATGATTATAAAGATAGTAATGATACGAGTAAAAATAATGCTTATAAAGATGGTAATCCGAAGAATGATAATACTTATAAAATGATAATAATGATAATAACAACAATAATAAAAATTATAATGATAATCAAAATTATAGTAACAGTAACAATAAGAAAAAAACAATAATGATTTTATTTTTTAATTATGATAATAACGACAGTAACGATGATGATGATGATAAATAATAATAATAATTACAGTGATAACAACAATAATAGTGATTATGATAATAATGATAAAAATACTGATGAGAATATCAGTGATAAAGATAATAATAAAAATGATAATATCATTAATGATAACAGTAATTAAAGGGATTACAATAGTAATAATTATGATGATCATGACAACAATGATAATAACTGTAATAAAAATATGATGATAATGATAGTAATATCAATAATAATAACAACTATAATGATAATAGTAGTAGCGATAATAATGATCAAATTTAGTGATGATGATGATAATAATAGTAATAATAATAATCATAATAATAATGATAATAATATGATAAAAGCAACAACAATAACGATAACAATAAAGATAATGATAATAAACATAATGATAATAAAAACAATAACAATAATAATTATGATAAATCATAACAGTAAAGATGAAAAAATGATGATGAGGAAAATGATAATCATAAAGATAATAAAATCAGAGATAATAATAATAATAGTAATAATAATGATGATAATAATGATAATAATAATAATAATGCTATTGTAATATAGAATAATAATGATAATAATAGTAATAATAATGATAATAATGATAATAATAGTAATAATAATGAGGATAATAATGATTATAATGTTAAGGACAGCAGTGCCCTACACTTGATAGTTTAATTGAGTGACTATCATCAGCAATATCAAAATATTACATTTCTTCCAAACTGGAAATAATAATGGGAAAAAAACAACAACATACCACTTCAAGTCTAAAATGATGAATAAGCATATCAAATAATATAGATGAATTTATAAAGTTACGTACATCTCTATCAGCAAATGACATTTTACGCTGACAGCCATCGTCCAAAATGACGCTTGTAATAACAGGTAAGGTAATAACACCATCAATAACAGCAGTGAACAGACTAACCAGTGAGAGCAATAACCAGCACAGCAGCGGTAAATACAGCGATAACAATGGAACTACGCGACAGGCTTAATGGTAGGGCGAGAGAGACAGGCTGTAGAAGGGGGGAGAGAGAGACATCGACGCGGAAAGGACAGCGATAAAAGAGGCGCAAGGGGGACAGCGATAAAAGAGACGGAAGGGAGGACAGCGATCAAAGAGACGGGAAGAGGACAGGGATTAAAAAAAGAGACGGAAGGAGGACAGCGATAAAAGAGGGAGGAAAGAGTGGAGGAGAAGAATTGTCGTCTGGCGGGGAACTATGTGAAGGAGAGAGCGAGAGTTTGGCAAGAGTCGAGTTGGTCAGGGGTTGTGGGGGAGGGGGTGGGGGTGGGGTGCAGTGGTGGGGGAGGGAAGGAAAAGAGAAGGAGAAAGAAAGAGGAGAGAGAGATAAGAGATAAGATTAGAGAAACAGATAAGAGAAGAGAAGAGAAGGAGAATGAAATAGAAGAGAGAGAAGAGATAAGAAGAGAGGAACAGATAAGAGAGAAGAGGAGGAGAAAAAAGAGGATAGCAAGAGAAGAGATAAGAGGGGAGGAACAGATAAGAGAGGAGAAGAAAAGGAAAAAGAAAGAGGAGAGAGAGAAAAGACTTAAGCAGAGAGGAACAGCTAAGAGAATAGAAGAGATGGAAAAAAGAAAGAGGAGAGAGAGAGGAGATTAGAAAAGAGAAGAAAGGAAAGGATAAGCTTAAAGAAGATAAGGGAAAAGAAGAGAGAGAAAGAAAGGTGAAGAGGAGAGAGAGAAGAGAAGAAAAGAGAAGAGAAGAGTGAAATGAAGAGAATAGGAAAAGAGAGACGAAAAAGGAAAAGAGAAAGAAAGAAAGAAAAAAAGAGAAAACGAGCAAGCAAACACACAAACAAACAGACACCAAAACACCGGAAGACAGAAGTGGGAAGAACGGAGGGACGGAGAAGGCAAAGAAAAGATAAATGAGGGAGGAGGCACCACGGAAATTAATGAGGTTTAGGAGATGAGCGACTTAATGGACTCAAGAAGGTAAGCCAAGGCCGAGGAAAGGGCGAGATTTGGGGGGAAGGCGGCGCGGGCGAGGCGGGCGGGGCGTGGATACAGACGTCTGTGTGCGTGTGTGCATATATATATATATATATTATATATATATATATATATATATATATATATATATATATAATATATATATATATATATATATATATATATATATATATATATATATATATATATATATATATATATATATATATATATACATATTCATATTATGTATATATAAATGTATATACATGTGTATGTGTTAA